TAAACTCATCAGATCTGGACTGCCCATATCTCATTTAGATGGTCTAAATTTGATTTTTTTTATTTGTTTAAAATAATTATTTTAATATGTATAGAATCTCAAATAAATATAATCTTTTAATTATAATTTTTTTTAAAAATATTTTTTATTTAAAAATAATTAATTAAAGATTTTAAATCTGAACTATTTAAATCGAATATAAACGATTTAAATTTGATGAATTTAGGATGCTTATCAAAATGATAAACACTGAAACTGGTACCGTACCGTAATAAGCAGTCGTCGATGAGTTAGAACTTAAAATAAATCGGTGGTATATATCAGAAGCTCTTGCACTGTATATACAGAATAGCCATGACTAGCTTCAGCTTTATGGCGCCTGCAATTCAACAATTGTGATCTCTCCTTTTCTTTTCAAAAATTTAGAAAACAAAATCGTATAATAAGACGTAAAGAAATTAAAATGCACAGATTTTATTGATGAAATATCCGTATCAGAGACCTCACGTTGGACCAGCCCTGTGGAATCATCTGCAAGATGAGTTAATGGTATGCTTCTGTCTTTTCATGATCTGAAGCCATAAGCTTTGGCAGTGATTTGAATCTGCGTAGTTATTTTTCGTTATTACAAATTTACAACCCGATCCTGCGCGGCCTCTTTGGTGAAACCCGACCATCGTCCCCTGGACTTTTCTATCTTATCACCATCACAAGCAGATATTCCACCACTAAGTGATGTTTATATTTCATACTGGAAATAGAAATTTTTTTATTTTTAAGTTCAAACAATTGAGAAAAGAAAGAGATATTAGAAAATTAAGTTGCATGTGTGAACATTAGGAAGCTCGATGACCCCCATCAAATCTCGGCACACAGTAGATGCAATTAATCTTTGGTTTCCCTTCTCTAGTGGCTGCAACTGAAGGACCCGGTCTTCTCCAAAAGCACTATATATTTTCATTTCAACGGGAGTAAACTTTATAGAGTAGATTGACTCATAATACTTCCTGTCCTTATATAAGAGCTAGTTAACTAATTTGAACATATTAAGAAAATTAGTTAAGTTAGTTATTTGTAATAAGTAGGTATTGTCTTTTCTAAAATATTCGTATCTTTACTAGAATTACCATTATTACAAGAACTATCTTAAAATATATATAAATATAAGAGATAAAATAGATTGTGTTCTTATATTTACAACCAAAATAAAAATCAAATGAGTTCTCCAAAGTAATATATACTCCTCCGGTCCTTATTATAAGACCCAATTTGACTTTTTATTTGGTCCTAATTATAAGACCCAATCCATTTTGTCTCTTATATTTATGTATTTTTTTCCAAGATAATCCTTCTAATAATGATAGTTTTAGCCAATATACTTAATTAGCAAGGATATTTTAGGAATGACAACACTTATTTATTATAAATAACCAACTTAACTCACTTCCTTAATTTCCTCAAATAAGTCAATTGGGTCTTATAATTAGGACCGGAGGAGTATAATATAAATAGTAACTTGCTGGTGGAATATCGATGAGCGGTGTTCAATATAATCTTGACATGCCTGTCTGAACGGAGGCTTCCACTTTTCCAAGAACGTTTTTATTTGACTGGCATCATAAAATAGGTGCTGCCCTAATTAATATTGGAGTGTTAGTTTATCGTGGATTAATCTTGACTCTGTATACCACGCTTGTTCTCTTCTGGTTTGAATATTATTTTCTATTTGATTACATGCAGCTCAATCATTTCATCATGTTAATTAAATGCGGCAAATAAATGAAAGTAAATAAAGTAAAGCAGTCCAAAACAGCGTCCACTTTGTATCAATCACATAGCCCATCACCGGTGAAAGAAGCTAAAAAAGGGGACATAAAAATAGGGAAATCAAATGGAAATTTGACTAAGTTATGACCAGTCAAAGACGTAGAGGATCAAGTATTTGCATAGAAAGCAGGGAATCAAGAACTTGCAGAGTCAAAGAAAGCCAGTCTTCATCGGCCCAAGAGAGGGGGAAAAAACAATACAAGGTAGTATGAGGGTAGTGTTCGTCAACGCGCGTGAGAATTGGAAGGATTTCTTAGAAATTCAGAGGAAAACGTGCAGAACGTTTCGCTTGCTTTATTTTTTGAACTAGAGGGATAGATATTAATAGTCCGGAGTTCGAGATCGAATCCGATTTCGCATTCTCTTTCCATATTGCTGTCTTTTTTTTCCTTCCATAGATTTAAGTCCATTCGAGTTTCGAAACACTATTAGATATTAAATATGAGTATTTTTTCTAACGGATATTTAAATATTGATTTATCAGATCACAAGAGATTTATACTCGTTTGGCTATACTCAACTTTAGTTGGTATTCCATATTACTGTTGAGTATGAATCCTTCCCGCCTACACATGCATCGCATCACGGTGTTTCAACTCAAACTGTGACTGTTGTGAAGAATGATGCCTAAAACACAAACTACTCTTTTGTTTTTAACGTAAGAGTTAGTTTGATTTTTAATCCGGTCTTAAATATAAGACCCTAATCAACTTTGTCTCTTATATTTATTTATTTTTTTCTAAATTAGTCTTTATAGTAGTTTTACATATTAAAGATTTTATTAAATGATAGTTATAGCTAATGCACGTAATTAATAAGGATATTTTAGGAAAGACAACGCATATTTATTAGAAATAACTAACTTAACAAACTTTTTTAATATACTTAAATTAATCAATTAACTTTTTAATTCGTTATCTCCACTTCGTCTTTGACATGCTGTTGCACTGCAAGGTCCGGGGTAGGGCCTCATGCATTAAGATCGTCCGAAACGTTCCATGACGTTCTATTGGTCACATCCTGAACCTGAAATGAACAGTTTATGAATTCTTCTTCTCAAACATACATTATTTTAGGTAACAAAGAGAATTTACATGTGAGTTTGTATTTTTGAAACGGAATGTCGTTAGTTTCATAGCCCATGAGTAAAGTTAGTTTCTATAACTTATATATTCCATCTTTAATACATGAGATTCACAATTAATTTTTATACTTCTCTGGTCCTTAACATAAGACTCAATTGTTGAGTTGATTTTGATTCTAAACATAAGACTCATTTCTTACATTTATCAATTTTTTCTAAATTATTCCTATAAATACTCCTTCAACTATAATCAAGTAGAAGAGAAAGAGGGGGTATTAAGAAAGATGATTATGGTATTTTAGGAAAAACGTGTCACATTTCTTATAATTAACTAACTTACCTAACTTTATTAATCTAATCAAATTAGTTAAATAGATCTTATGTTAAGAATTGGAAGAGTATTACATATAAATATAAGGTTAATATAATTTTTGGTCCCTCAAGTTTGTTCTTATTTTGATTTTGGTCCCTCAAGTTTCAAATAATAGATTTTGATCCTTTAAAGGGAAAAATTATCCAAGTTTTTATTGGATTATAGAGACCATTATTTTAAATAAAAAGAAATTGTTTATTGGATTATAAAGACTATTATTTTAAATAAAAGAAATTTATAGGACAAAAACTTATGGTTTAAAATTTAAAAAACTAAAATCAAAATAAGAACAAACTTAAAAAATCAAAATTTGTATTAATTAGTAAATATATTGAATGAGTATGATACCTTGTTAGCCGGAGATAGTAAGTTACGTGTCAGAAGTTAGCTGAATGCCCGCCCCCTCTAGTAAAAAAACCGGGTTTGACTTACTTAACACTGCGTAAAAATCAGACATAGGGTTAAAGAGAGGTTAACTCATTAAACTTGTCAAAAACTTGTAATATTTCTTCTAAAACCATGTCACGAAGAAAAAGAGGGGATGCTGTTGCGGAAGGGTCAGCTGGAAGAGAGGGAAAAAAGAGAGGTAAGGTGATTGGATCGAATACAAATGCAAAACCCTGACTATTTATGAAGCCCTATAAATAATAAAATTATAAATCAAATTCAAATTTAAAATCAAATCCTAATCTAATCTTTAAGGGTATGTTTGGCTCAATGAGAGAAAGGGGAAGGGAGGGGAGTGGAAGGATTTTAATATTATCTTGTTTGGATTTATAAAAAAAAAAGGGAAGGGAGGGAAAAATATTTTAATATGGACAATTTTGCTCTTATTTTATTTAAGGCGTGGGCATAATGGTCACAACATGACAAAATATAGACATAATGGTCACAACATGACAAAATATAGGCATAATGGTCATAATATGACAAGATATTACCATTTCCCTCCAAATCCTCCCAATTTTGGAGGGAGGGGAGGGGAAATTTTAAAAAATTTTCTCTCCCCTCCTAAAATTTGTGTGTTGCCAAAGAAGGAGAAATGATTAAAATCCCTCCCCTCCCTCCCAAATCCCTCATACCAAACACACCCTAAAAGATAATGATAAGATGATTTAACTAGTTTAAATATTCTGTTATATTAAAAATAAATAAATCTAAAATAATCTAGAAAAAGATAAACCCATAAAATCCTAATCATAATGAATAAATATCTTTATTTAAATAATCATAATGAATTATTCTAAATATCTAAAATAACCCCAATTAACCATTAATCTCATTTCCCACCAAGCGAATTTGGGTGGCTTGAAGGGAAATAAAAGTGGGCTATAGGCCTAGAGGCCTACAGGCTACAGCCGTCCCGCCATCTTTGGGGAAAAAATTATAAAATTTTTTAAAACGAAGACTTTTTTTTAAAAAAAAAAGCATAGACATTTGAGAAACAAACCTACAATAAAAATCCTAAATAAATTATTTGGATTTTGTAAAAGAGTGATTGACAATTTGACAATATTGGCCTTGAAGCCATGTCTCTTTTAAATTTAAAAACTGGGAGAATCAGAGAGAAGGACTAATAAAGAGTAATATTTATAAAAGAGGATCATAAAAATTAAAATTATTTAAAAAGACCAAATATTCTAATATAAATCTAAAAATAACATATTGTCCCTACTCAAACCTCCTATTTCTCCTATATTCCGTCCTAGAAAGGGAGAAAATTCACGAGTCTGGATAAGACTCACCCTGCCCTCTTTTTTACAATTTGGGAGTAATTAATTGGACATTAAAACATACAGCCACATTGGGTTATAATTACATTCTCTGCAACTTTCGCAGACAAACAAGGAAATAATTACACCCGTCTACAAGAACGATGGCCCTTCTTGTACAACCACAGAGAATTGACTTGAAGGAAGATGCAATTATTCGCATGGGCCTTGGCTTTCTTTGATATTTGAGTCATCGCAAGGATTAGGGAGAACCACCGGCTGCGCGGCATTAGTGTATGCAGGACAGATAGAAACATATTGACAGAATTTACATTTCCAGCGCTCATCCTCTGGGACATACCTAGCTTCTTCCTCTCCAACCCAAAATTTAAGACATGTTTGAATCTGATCCTTTAGCCACTTAGGATCATATGCAAATTTATCTTCACCAAGCAGTGAATGATCCTTCTGTGACTCGTATCTGTCACAAAGCAAACAAAGTAACGTCATTTTTCTTCCTCTAATGTATCCTCTTCATCCTCTTAATTATTGATGAAGAATTTTCCGATAGGAGCCATTCCAGGAAAAAGGACAGGGCTCCAATAGGAAGCCAAAAGGCAAAATTACGGATGTTTCACAAAGACGAAACTTGTATCAATAAAGATATGCTGTTAAAACTTGCATATCTATAACGAGAGATTTTGTTACTCACCTCAATAGAAGCTGATCGTGAGCCGCACCCAGCACTGCACGCGGAATTTTGTAATGCGTCACCGCATCATCAAGGGTCTACTTATTGCCAATTTGAAAAATAACAATGAAAGATTATCTTCACCATAATACATTTGACCATTTCAGAATTGTAATGGCTGATCAGTAACTAAATGATGCATTTTCGAATCAAAACACCAACTGTGCAATAGAAAGGCAAAATTATATCAAGCTCCGTTATACTTGATACAGCGGGTAATTCACAAATTTTTTTCAATCATTATGAGTATGAGATGTATTCTTTGACACGCTGGGGGAAATTACATATTCCTCAATACAAAGACTGATGCAATGTTTGTATAGAAAGGAAATGGGAAATGCACCTGTCCCATTTCCTCTCTAGGTGCATTTCTCATTTTCTTTCTAGAAAACACTTCCTTGCACACCGTAGCATTGCCTCAGGGAATATTAGGAGCTCAGGAGCCCAAGTTCCACTTACCAATGCAGAGAATCCAGAATCCCCACTCTCCCCTTGCAGATCTTCGCAAAGAGTATGGTGAGGGTTTAAACCGAAAGAATCAAAAAAATGTTTAGAGGGGAACTTGCGAGCAACCAAATTGTCCCACATATACTTGTAACACATTAACTGCAGCCTACCAAGAAAAAAAGAGCAAAATATAACTAAATGAATCATTGGCTTGCAATTTCGCGTCCCAATGAAATGACATTAATGCTAGAATAATATACACACCTTCCATTTCTTCGTTGTGGTTCAGAAGGAAGTGTATCTCGAGAACGGGTTTTTGTGTCAATTAGTATGGGATTTCGATTATGTAATGTCTGCGGCAAACGAATCTCATCAATTACACCCACCATCCATACACCCTCTGCAAAGCCTATTCTGACATCAGAGGAACGCTTCATCATGACCACTAGTGGGAGAAAGTCCGCCAAGGGAAGTCTAAACTATAAAGCATATATGCCATAATGGACCAGAATTCACCAAAACAGAATATGTCAACAGAAACATTAAAAGCAAGATTTACGATCTCGTTGTAGCATTTGTCAAATTCAGTGGGTGGATTTTTCCCTTCAAATGCATCCTTTACCGCATATTTTAATGTTCTATGGTTTCAATAAGGAAAAAAAGACACAGCTAGTGATGGAACGTTTCATTCAAAAAAGACAAAACAAATCAAATTTTCCCTGGAAGAGGCAAAACAATTTCTATAGTAACTAAAGCCAAAACAATGAAAATGTTATCTTTGGACTTAAAATCCACCTTCTACAAAATCAAGAACAATAACCTTTAAACAATCACACATTTATGAAATATATGGGAAGCTGCACCTCACAAGCCATTAACAATTCAACTCCCTCAATAAAATTTATGAATAACTCAGATGCATCATCCCCTTTCATAACGTGGCAATCGCTTACATGCGGCATCAAATCCTGATCAAACAAAATACATGAAAATAGACTGATAAAATGTCAACTTACATGGGCAGTTCACGAGTGACTCCTTCTAACTGTAATTGGTTAACACCATTTATAAAATTAATGAACTTCAAGGCCCAAAAATCTTCATGTGATTTGATCTTCACTGCCACCCGTTTTATAATCTGCAAATCAACATTCAAAGATATGATCATGTGAGACGCCCGCAATAAGAATTCAAGTAGTCAGGACTTGAGATAACAATAAAGTACCTCTTCTTCAAGTTTAACGTGTCGAGCAATCCCAGCTTTCATAGCTTTGGTTATCTTTTGTGCTCCATAACGGAGAGTAAATTCCATTTGTTTTTGGCACCATTCCTAACATTACATTTAACTAACGAGGTTAAGATGATTGTGGCCCTGATTCCACGAAATGGACAAATCAGTGATGGCAACAAAAAATATTATCTTATGTATTTTAATTTTTATACTTTTCAAGAAAGGAAAAACAAAAACTTGACACTGGACGAGGCTTCATGTAACATTGGCAGGAAAGTTAAAAACCCAAAATAAGTTCCATCCACAGCCCAACACAGAAAAGGTCAAAATTTGATACCGTAGATGTAATATCGGTGATAGACAAGCCCCTATTTTTCCTGAAGCGGTGCAGATACGATTCGGCCTCTCTTCTCCTTTTCTGGGTGTTCAGCATGTTGCCGGAATCCTCAATGTCAGATTGAGAACAATTGGAGAAACCCTTGTTAGATAGAACGGCAATTGATCGAACGGGGGATTTCCCATTTATGTGAAGCTGGGAGGGGAAAGTGGGTGATGGTATTGCAGGGGCAACAGAAAAAGTGAAAGAACGAGCATATGCTAGAGCAGCTTCAATAATAGCCATCTCTTCATCACTGACGATCTCAATTGGGATCTCAGGAACATTATTGTTTGTTTTAACCGGCACGCTAGAGGATGTTTCGCCCATGTGGCTGATTCAGCAAGTTTGTGGTATACTGCCCGTAGGAATCGGCACCGTCGATGGGCAAGCAATACCCCGATATGGGGTAAATTGCATAGCAAATATTTGAAGGTCGGGGTCGCAGGCAACAAGGAAAATCTGAGCCCAGTGGGTTCAGCTTGTTGGTGTTAAATTTGCCATTGGATCCGCCATCATCGATGGACATGCCAATTTTAAGTTCCGGGAGGGTTGGATTTTCGGGTAAGGTGGCTTGTTGTGGCGGGCTTGTTTAGAGCTCCAATCAAAAAATACTTCTAAACAAGTTTACGTGAATCGAGACAAAACTCTCTTTATATATTTATTTGGGTTAAGGTGCGTCCAGCATCCCGAACTATTTACCCAGGTGCGTCCAGTGGCCTAAAGTAATTTTGGGTGCATCCAATGTTCTAAACTAATTAAAATGGTGCGTTCATATCCTAGGCTAACAGAAATGTTATGTTTAACTGTTAATTTCCTAACTCAGTTTAAAGTTAACCCCAAATATTCTAAATGGTAGATAAATGGACATTTGATGTGTATTATTCTTACTCAAAATTGAATTTATTTCCTTCCTTTTCTTCTAAATAAATTGACTTTTGAGTAAGAATAATACACATCAGGTATCCATGTGTTTACCATGTAGAATATCTGGGATCAGCTTTAAGTTGAGTCAGGAAAGTAACGGTTAAACATAATATTTATGTTAGCTTAGGATATGGACGCACCATTTTAATTAGTTTAGGACACTGGATGCGCCCAAAATTACTTTAGGCCACTGGACGCACATGGGTAAATAGTTCGGGGTGCTGGGCGCACCTTAACCCTATTTATTTCATATTCTGTACATTATGTTTAAAAAATTATTTATAAATCAATTCAAACAAGCCCTATATTGTCGTAATACACGCGGTTGGTCACTGAGCGTCACAAGCTTCAATTTAGGACATGTTACATGCTCAAACATGAGGTTTTATATATTTTTTCTCCTTTACAGAATGTGAAAGAAAATATTTTAAATTTTTATTAGACACTGCACAGTTCAGATTATTTTTCTCAGGGTCAGGAAAACACTACTTTTATAAAGGAAGAGAACGAACATATTGTGGTTTTGTCCCTAAGTATCACTGGCTTCGATTTAGAGAGACTTCAGATGCATGAAGTCTCAAGGGGATAATCATGAAAGAGAAAGACAGTGCCAAGATTACTTCTATGGGCATGCATGGGAAACCAACTTGGCGCAACTCCATTGCCCTCATGGCAAGCAAGTGAAAGCTTCACTCTCAAGCTAAATTAAAGCTGCATGAAGCTTCTTAATTCTTACACGCCGTTTGCTGACTAACCTCCAGGCCACTTCTGAGTCAGTCTCCAACCAAACTCGTTTGAATCCTTTGTTTCCAATTGACGTGTCGCTTCAAATACATGTGATAATTTTCCCTCCAGTTTATCATCCGAGCCCCAAGTTTATTTTGACACCATTAACTGACGTGGACGGATTTTTAGGAGTAAACTTTCAGACTGTTAACTTTAAACTTAAAAATAATTCTGTATACTTTTTCATTCTGTTAACTGTTAAGAGTAACATGATATCAATAGATATAACTGGCAGAAACATGCACGTTCAAAATGCTAACAAAATAAAGTAAGATTCAAAATCTTGCTTTTGTGATGGAATAAAATACAAAGGCTATGCAGGGAACATCCAAAAAGATTTATGCATTGTCCGTTGCATATCATGTTGGTAAAATTATAAGCATTGGTATTAATATAAAATATAAATTTTATAACAAATACTACTCTTCCGGTCCTAAATCTAATACTACAAAGTGGGTCTTAGATTTATGACTGGAAAAGTATTATTTATAAATTAGACATCATTATTTATAAACCAGACACTAGAAGTTGGTAGAAAAATAAATCAGACACTAGAGAAGGAAATGTCATTTGTGTTAACTTCTTTATAAATATGCCGGACGTACATATCATAATATATTGATGTAGCATAAAATCCAAACTGATAGCCCGTTTGGACTAGGCAGCTTAAAGAGGTTACTTTTACCTTGATAAAAAAAAAAAAAAAGTTACTTTTACGTTGCAAGTTAAAGATACAAAAAAGTCATGAAAGTAATTATTTAAAAAGGTTTTAAACATCTATCTTTGAAAAAAGAAAAAGAAAAATCATGACTACCACCCAAAGTTATGAGATAAAATTATCTTAGCCAAGATTTCTGAAGTTCTATCTTTTAAAGTAGTGATTGACTGAGTGCATGAAAAAAAGATTGACTGATGGTCGTCATCGGAGGCAACTACTAGCCTTGAAGCAGCTCATATTTGTTATCTTTCAGATTTCAAGTGCCTGAGAAGTATATTCTAAACGCTTTTAGATGCCATACCTTGTTTTCCTGCAGCTCAATCATGATCACTAGGAAGGGTTCTTTTTAATTTGGCTGAAACAATCATATATGGAAGATTCGATCTCATTTCGCCAGTTGCTTTTGCAGTATTGGCAAGGTTCCAAAAGAAGCCCTGGACTCTGGAAAATCACCCTCACTAACAAATTGCTGCGTCAAATCTATTTTGGACTCTTTGATAAGGAGACTTTAGCGCATGATAAAAGGCAAATCCATCATGTGATTGGTAAGACAAGACAGATCCAAGAGATAGAAGAGAGTAATTAAACCCATAAACCTATACGTACCTCCCCAGCCTGCCTTCAACATGTTATGTTCATTCATTGGAATGAGAGGTCAACTAGCAGGAGAAGTGATGCCAAGAGCCCTGCTTTGCCCTGCTCGTCATCGGCGCTCGAGCATGGACACAGGTGATGGCGTCATCTCTCCTGCGTAGTAAACCTTTCAGTGCCATTGCTTCACCCATCTACTCTGCAACTCCAATCCATTATATGCGGACCAAATTGATGTATGTCGTCTGTGCGTGGGTCCTGGTTTACCTGCAGATGGGCAGCCATAGTCTCACTATCATAAAGTAATAAAATTGTAGCCAACCACGGAGCAGAGCAGCCTTGTTTGAAAAGTCCTTCCAAGCAATCTGTATTATACCCATGTGCGTTTTTCACTTTCCAGTGGTTACTTGGGACTCCCTCGTCATTCCATAATAGTAGAGGTCATTGTACCAATGCAAGCTTTTACCCAATTTTTTCTGCGTCTCTCCTTCAATCTCAGAGCATTTTGCTATGGTCTGCCCGTCTCTTCATTGCCTTATAGCAGACAGAATTAATCATATTGTCTCTTCATTGCTCTGAACTACCATTCAACATTTTCATGGAGAGCCCGGTCCTGCTGTCCTTTTTTTCTAGTGAAAAGGGGATGCTTTATTAAAATAATAAAAATTACATAACTGGTTACAAATAAAATAAGCTAAGGTTAACCCCGCGGGGTTAGGTCGACTGGCTGGGGTCGTCCTAACTTAACCACGGATCTCGGGTTCGAGACGTGGGAACGCAGCACTCCAAGGGACCAGGGGGCGCCGTCCGTTTGGATCCTTGCAAGCCCTTGAATCCGGATTAGTCTGGGGACGTTGTCACGGCTGAAAGACGCCTATTTCTCTGGGATACCGGATGGAGTAATCCAAAAAAAAAAAAAATAAGCTAAGGTTAACAAGACTATCCTATTCGCATGTTGTGGCGAAAATCTCTGGCTCGCTCAACGTATTCGCTTAAAGACAAAGTCTCGTTTACAACTCGAAAAGCCGAAGGCTTTCTTGTTACAAAAGATCTTTTTGTTTCTAGCATCCCAAAGCTTCTAATAGAGGATACCAAAAACCGAACACTACTGGGGGTTGGTCTTCCCCGTCTTCAAGTTGTTTTGTATCCAGTCTTCAAACGGGCATTCGAAAAAGTTGGAGTGAAGGTGGGTTGGGAGAATCAGTCTCCAGCATGAGGTGGCCAGGTCACACGTCCTTAAGACATGATTGATATCTTCCGTTTGCTTTCTTGCAAACTCCGCAGATGTCGTTGTTCGTCATGCATCGCTAAACTCTCTCTCTCTGTTAGTAAGGAGCTTGTTCTGTAATACCAACCAGAGGAAGGTTCTTATACGTTGTGGTCCCGACCAGCTCCATGCAAGTTCCCAACATGGATCGGCCACATCCCACCCATCAGCCACGAGCATCTGGTAGGTGGACCGGACTAAAATGGAGCGTTTACTGTCAAGGTGCCAGAAGTAGTAATCTGCGGTATTGGAATGTGAGGGCACAGTGTAGTCGGCAATTTGATTCTATATGTCGGCAGGTAGGAGGTGGCTAAAGTCAGACCACTTCCATTGCCCAGTCGAGGTGGAGTAGTCATGGACAGTTTTCTCAAGGTCTGCCTCAGGTATTGGCTGAAACGCGAGATTACATAAGGGTCCTAGGTCCCCAATCTAGTGGTCTGACCAGAATCACGCTTGTTTACCGTTTCCTACTTTCCAGAAAAGGCCCTGGTCCAGATCATGCCAGAGATTGTTAAGGCTTCTCCATAGGTAGGATGCGGTGGGATATTTACTGCTCTTTTTTCCCCCCTCCCTTTGTCCCAATCCATATTTTGCTCTGAGTATTGATGTTCTTTCACTGCATAGAAATAGCCCCATTCATCCACATAGGCATGTTTAGCCTATCCAAACAAGTCTTCTACATTTCCTGTCTTCCATTGTATAGGCATTTCTTTCTAGGCCAATATGTACTCTAAGTATCTCTTTCTGCCAATGTTATAAGTCTACTTCACGAGTCATTAGGCTCGTTTAGAATAATTTATAAATAGCTTATAAGCTTATTTTCAATAGTGATTTACGAAATGCGAGACAGATATGTGAGAAAAGTTTTGTTTCGGTTTGCGTAAAACTAGCTTATAGGAGCCAAACAGGGCCATTAATTCAGCCCAACGATTATGAGCCAGGTTCATGAGATTAATATTCTATTCTATTCTATTCTATTAAAATCAAAACCCCGTTTAAGCGGGCTTTCTTTTGGAAGGCACGGTTCAATCGAAACTAAAGAATAAATTAGGTTTAAAAAATTAACTCAAAAAACTACTTATCAAACTTTTTCGAATGACATGCATAATTTTAATCGAGTTATAAGCCTTTTCAATTCCAACCAGTAACCACCAAGCTCGAATGACTGGTCATTCCAGTTACTAGATACCCTATATGAATGAACAAACGCAAATTACATTACTGTCTATGAACAAAAAGATTAGAACGATTTTAGATTTTTCTTTTTTGGGTCGAGAAAATGATCATCAACGTTTAATACTTCCAATATAATCTGTTTTAGAGTCAGAAAAAGGAATTTGATGGGTCCTAAAAAGGACTTGGCCAATTAAGCAAATCGTTGATCCATTAATCTTTATATTACATAAAATCTATAATAAATCACACTGTTAATAAATCCGGTAAAACACAACTCGTCTAAAGGTGTATTTGGATGAAACCAAACCATAGTTTGAAAAAGTGATTCTAGAAAATAGATTCTGGGGAGAATAGATTATGTGAAGAATAGATTTTGTAAAAAAGTGATTCTGAGAAATGAGAGTGTTTGGATAGTTGTTATCAGAAGCACTTTTTATATATACAAATTACTAAAAAAAACATAAGTTAATATGATAATTACAGAAAAATAGATTTTATGATATATTTTAATTTGAAGGAATAAAATTGTTAATAATATATTTTTTACCAACATAATTAATAATACATAAGATAATATAATTAATAAATAATTAATATGTATATATATTTATAAAATATAATATTAAATATGTTTATAAAAAATATGTTTATAAAAAAAATAACAAGATACATATCCTATAGGCTCTCACACTCTCCCTTTTTTCTCCAAAAGCAAAAAGTTTGCTTTTTCCAAAACCATGGTTTTGACCTAAAACCATGGTTTTGGTTTTTGGGTAGGTGTTTGGGTGACTTATGGGGTGTTTGGATAGAAACCAAACCATGGTTTCAGAAGTGCTTTTACAGTTTACGAAGTAAATATGTGAAGGAGTTTACCTCGTTTTGCAGAAAAGTGCTTCTGAAACCATGGTTTTCATATTGCCAAACACCCCCTTAATCTCCAAACCATGGTTTGAGGTGTTACCCAAACACACCTTAAGTTTCTTTTTTTTTTTTAACCATGATCTAAATTTCGTTTAGCACAGAAGATGTCACCAATCAATCAATTAATATCTTTGGCCAAAAAAAAAAATTTAATATCCTATTTTAGAAATGATAATTTTAGTTTGAGCCCACTTGAATGCAGATAGAATCGGGCCTTGTTGGACTGAGAGGCAACTAGACCTGCCCTAATTGCACTTTTTTCGTTTTTCACAAAATATGCTTAGCAGGCTCAAAATCACTCAAATTAATTTAAAACTAAAAAATGGCGAAAAAGTGCAATGTAATTTGCACGTGAACACACCGAAACCCAACCCGGACCTGTTGCCGTGAAAAAACCGGATTGGATAATCGGCGACAGGTCCGAACTTTGTAAGTGGAGATTGGTTCTTCTGGCTGGCTCTCTCGGTCAAAAAGAAACGTATCCAGCGAACACAGTCGAGCGGAGAGTCGGCGTAAGATTCCAAACCCTAATCATCACCGTCTATTGCATTTCCCTGGCGCACCGAGAATTCGATTTGTTTCTATGGTTGGTCTTTCGCGTATTCAGCTCAAATTTCCCTTCCTTTTAGCCGATTGTAACGATCAATTGTTGTTCATAGTTTAATTTCTTAGCTATGTAATTCGACTGATTGCTCTGTTCTTTTTTTTCTTTTTTTACTCTGTTTATTTGGTTTTATCTGTTGCTGATGGCGGTAGCCTGCTCTAGCTTACGCGGCATTTTTGGCTGATTCCCCGCTCTTGCTGAAGATTCTGTACTAAATTATTGGGCTCCTGCAGATGGATTTAGTCAATAGTTGCAAGGTATATCTTTGATTTTTTATCTTCTTTTCTGTGTCTGATGTTCACCGGATAACGGCGGGTTTTGAAATTTACTGAGGTTCTTATCTGCGCACCAATTCTCTAGTCAACAACCATTTCCGCATCATTCAATGACCTTATAACCGTGGACCTTATGGCTTTTGCAGGTGCCGGAAAAGTGGGTTTTTGCGATCATGTAGTGTAGCTTATTCTTGTGATTTTATATCTGTGTATTAAACAATTCTTTGTTGTGTAGTTCGCACGGTAACTGGTTCCGAAAGTTGTTACCTTTATGACCAATGTCTCCTCATTAAAACATTGAGGAAGACGATACATTTGATGTTCATTGTCTTTTATGGACTTGTAGTATAATAACAACTTTTTAGGAACCAAATGCTATTAGGATGCGTAAAGAATTTTTAATTTTCAAAATTATAAATTGGATTTTCACAGACAGGTGAAGAACAGTTTATCCGACCAGCTACAGTCTGTGCTTTTTTTATTCTAGTGACACAGTTTTGTTTATTTATCACCATAACATCGCATGCCGATGAAGGAAGTTATATATCTCAGTTTTTTGGTTTCATAACCCTTTGTTATTTGTGATTCTTTCATGTTATGGCAGGACTTCCTTTTTTTATTCCTCTTCCTTGTATAAAATAAATAAGTTGGTGATTCTGTTCAATACTTTTGCCTAATGATTGGATTTTTTACTTCATTGAAGTGATCTTGATAATACTGTGTCTTGAGATGCAATCTTAATAGCATACACTTGAGGATGCTTGGATTTTATTTGCTTTAGTTCTTTTACAGTGGGACATGTGGTGGGTTATTCTGACCTGATCTGCTAATCTTATAATTTATTTTTTCCTGTAGGAAAAGTTGACATATTTTCGTATAAAAGAGCTCAAAGATGTACTCACCCAGTTAGGCCTTTCAAAACAGGGAAAGAAGCAGGTGAGGCAGAATTAGTATTGATAAGGGTTTTCTATGAAAGTGATGCTAACTGCGTCTCATTTAATAAATTCATTGCCTGGTTAGTGGTTCTTGTGGAGCACAAGAGCTACTTTTTTTTCTTGTTAACAAGTGATGTAGAAGAATATCATTATTTGTTCATTATGCTAATTATATTTACTAGGTTAATTTCATCTACTCTCTTTCTTGCTTGTTAGAGGTATAAAATGGTGTAATGATGTTAATGCCTCCTCCTCATCTATGTAGGATCTTGTTGATCGGATATTAGCCATTCTCTCAGATGAACAAGGTAAGCAATTGCGGGTGGGTGCATGTTGGTGCTGAAGACTTGACCTTTGGCTGTTTGCTATCTTGTATTTCTGTATTATGTTCGTGTTTTTGCTTTTTGGTTTGGAAGAAATCCTACATGTGGAAAGTTTAGAATTTGGGTTATATCTGCGGACTGGAAGGTCTAGAGAATGGAAAGCAATTCTTGTGGTTATATCTGAGACAAATATTAGAATTCATTTACTGGGGCATTTGCAGTAATCTTTCAGTCAAGTTCAGATTGAAATTCGTTTGACCTTGGCTATTCTTTTTTCCCCAGATTTTTGTTTCCTTTTTCCTGCTCTTTGCTTTTATTGATTAACTGATTTGTCTTATTCGCCCTTTGATGACAGAGTTGTAAAGTTGTAAGCTTCATATGTTGTATTGAAGACGTTTGGAGCTTTTTAATTATTTGGTGTCTAGTTTATTTTGATAATTTGGAATTTTGAATATTAAGCTGATGTTCCTCAGTTACCCTTTCCAAGAGTCTGAACGATATGGTTTTCTTCCTTGTCCTCAGTTTCCAAATTGTGGGCTAAAAAGAATGCTGTTGGAAAAGAACAGGTGGCAAAATTAGTGGATGACACGTATAGGTCAGTGTTGAAGACAATGTTGTTGATGATGTTCTCTTCTTGAATTTTATTATGTTTCAGAAACGTAATGACCTGAGCTTTACGTTGAACCTATACAGTTTGTTAAACGCTATTTTTTACGTTGTGATTTTATTATGTTTCATAAACATGTAGTGATCTGAGACTCTTAATCTGGGGAACTTATATAATTTGATATTTTACTGTTAGATCTTGTTTAAGTGCAGTATTCAGCTCCATGCATGTTGTAATTTCTTTCCTTCTATTGCTCCCTTGCTGACACTGCATTTTCTGATTGGTCAGAAAGATGCAGATATCGGGAGCAACTGAGCTGGCATCAAAGGGTATGTCAGATAGCAGTAATGTGAAAATTAAAGGTGAAATTGAAGATTCCTTGCAGTCAGTTACAAAGATTCGGTGTCTCTGTGGAAGTTCTCTGGAAACAGAGGCCCTGATCAAGGTGTAATATTTAATCCCTCTGTCTCCCCCTCTTCTCTCTCGTTTATTAATGCTCTTTTCAATTCAGTGCTATGTGTTCATATGGCTTGATTGATGATTTACAGAAGTTTCGAGTTGATATCCCCTTTTTTCTTTGTTGAAGCACATTTCTACAAGGCCCTGTACATATTGTGTATATTATGGCAATTTTTCAAATCTAATTGCAGTGTGAGGATGCAAGATGCCAAGTGTGGCAACACATGAGCTGTGTTTTAATTCCAGATAAACCTACGGAAGGCATCCCGCCCGTTCCTGATAAATTCCATTGTGAGATCTGTCGGCTCAGTCGTGCTGACCCGTATGTCCTGTTCCTTTCTAGTTTTAGCTATTTATCAAGTTTTGATGGTATGGCATGTTTGAATACGTTGCCTTCTTAGTTTAGCGCACAATGTTTCTTTCCGCTTGCTAGGCTATTTCACTCTAAATGGTTATGAGTTGCCAAAATATGTCAATTTTCACTTTGTCAGCTGTGCCATTCTCTGCTGCTGCTAGAACTAGGCTCATGAGTTGAAATTGTGCCATGTTCTGTTGTGATTCAACTAACTACATGGTAATTGCTTTATGTGGCCCATTGAAGTTCGGCGTTACCCAAATAGTGTGTTTTCTTTATTCTTTGAAAACATCTTATGCTTATGAAAAGGCGTTAGGTGAAGTAACGTCCTTATATTTGTGACTGTCATAAACGGAGCTTTTGACTTTAGGTTTCTAGAATTTCTAGTGGTATGTTTAAAGTGAGGGGAGTTGTATTTTTTATCTGGTGGTTAACATGATATTGGTAGTACATGCTTTTTAAATTACAGTGTATTGCATGATATATGATCTTAAATGTTGTTTTTTGCATTCATTTGTGTTTAATTTCTTTGTAGAAAGAAGTGTGAATTACTATCCTAGATATGAAGTTTTTCATTTAAATCTTTATCTATCTGAGGAAATAGGAAAAAGCTGATGAACGATCAATTGATGGGGATAGACTCTCAATAGTTTCAGTTTTTTTTCTGGTGTTCTGTTGCAGTTTTTGGGTTCCAGTGACACATCCTCTGCTTCCCGTGAAGTTGACCACAACCAATGTTCCAACCGATGGGTGAGTATGTGGCTGGGGTGGATTGGTTGAAGTCAGGAAGAATGTTTGGAATGTTAATATGCTTTAGCAAAATGAATGTCTTGTCTATTATTTTCCCTAACGTGTAATTTCCTTTTCATTACCTTTTATGCATTCAAGATACAAATGAGTGTAGTGAAATGAAAACATACGTGCGCACTTATTGATAGGATTTCTCCTCCTATTATCACCTACAGCAGTAGGAAGAAATTCCCCAGAATTTGTGTCAGTTTAGGGTCAGTTTGTGATGAAAATTGAAACTAAGTTAAGAATTTAACTTCCTATATGTTTTGGCCGCATCAGAATTTGTGTTCGATTGTCACTCTTTGGAAGTTGTCAGGTGTCTGTCCAATGCTCAGTTTATGGTTGGTTATTGTTGATTTGCAACGCGCTGTGTCATATTCTCAGTGGTAGTGCAATTTTTTAGGGCGGTTTTGATACGCCTCCTCGTTTTCTATCTGATCCTAGGGCTGTCATTTATTTGAGCAAGTCTTTTTTTTTTTTTAATTAGTTTTTGGGTTTGGAGTTCTGTACGCTAATATGACTGCAAGCTTACAGCAAATGTTGTCGCCATTTTTTGTTTTGCTGTTTTTTGGGTGGTACTTTCTATAAATTTCTGCCAGACACGTGGTATTTGCATTTACCATCAGCTATCATATCCTATTCACCATGAAGCATAATTAATTTAAATTAATGTGCAAATGAAGCTTTTATGTTTACTTGTTTTGTTGAGGTGGAGTTTTGCCCAGGAAAATTAATTTAATGAGAAGTTTTCTGATTTTCTCTATTGTTCTTATCAGGTGTTGTTCCCTCCATAAAAAAATTTATTCTATAGACTCTTTCTCGTAATCGCATGCAATCATGATGGATCTTTTTCTGTGGTTATAATCTAGTTTTCAATTTAGTTTACTGGTTGATTGACCTGACCATGTTCCTGTTTGTCTTGTTCAGCACTAACCCTGTGCAGAGTGTGGAGCGATCATTTCAACTCACGAGAGCAGATAAGGACTTGGTGTCTAAACCAGAATTTGATGTTCAGGTTACATTGTTTCTCCAGTGTCAGCAGCTTAATGTGTAAGCTTAAGTCCAATGAGTATATTGATTTAAATAGAATGACGTCATATGTAGGTCTGGTGTATGCTTCTGAATGACAAGGTCCCATTCAGGATGCAGTGGCCTCAGTATACAGATCTACAGGTCAATGGTATGTTAAGTCGTGGTCCTCTCTACCACCTTTCCAGTTTTTTATTAGCATTATATGGGGCTTAATGGATGCTTCTAATAACGATGTTTTGTGAAAATGCACGGTCTTCCTTCTCAGTGTCCCATTTGAATTTCTTTTTGTCATGTAGGTGTGCCTGTTCGTGCCATCAACAGACCCGGTTCACAGTTACTTGGGGCTAATGGTCGAGATGATGGTCCAATTGTGAGTTTCTTGTTATCTATGGTTGTGACTAAAGTTCTATTGGGGGCTCAATTATTGTTCTGTCCTTTTTAGCGAGCACAAGCATTTGATCAAATTTCATACATTGTTATATAGCTCTTGTCCAATTTCTTATGGTCTCATTCTTGTCAGATCACGCCATATACAAAAGATGGAATAAACAAGATTTCCTTAACGGGGTGTGATGCTCGCCTTTTCTGTTTAGGGGTTCGTATTGTGAAAAGGCGGACCGTGCAACAGGTAGTTTGCATTCTAAACACCATGCCTTGTGGTTTTATAATGTGAATCTGCCTTGAAGAAACCAGCTGTATACTACTGCTGCATAATTTTCATTGCTACAGATCATTTAAGATTTACTTTTGTTATCCAGATGCTAAGTCTGTATTAAGTTATTAACTCCAATTTGCAACCCCTATTCAACCAAGTCAGGGCACCATGACTCGTAATAATTTAGCTTACATTTCAAAAAAATTGCATCTGCCTTGATTTCTACATAGTCATGCTACTGCTTCATACTTTTTATTCTACAGATCGTTTAATGTTTCCTTTTCTTATCCAGATCCTAAGTATAATTCCAAAGGAGGCTGATGGTGAGCCTTTTGAAGATGCTCTTGCACGTGTCTGCCGATGTGTCGGTGGTGGAAATGCAACTGATAATGCTGATAGTGACAGTGATCTAGAAGTTGTTTCTGATACATTTAGCATCAATCTCCGTTGTCCAGTAAGGCTTCCTTTCGTTAGTGGTGCTTTCAGTATTAGCTGAAGTTCAGAAATTTTTGTTAATGTGTCTACGCTTGGGAAATCTATAGATGAGTGGTTCAAGGATGAAGGTTGCTGGAAGATTCAAACCTTGTGTTCACATGGGCTGTTTTGATCTTGAAGTTTTTGTGGAAATGAATCAGCGGTCAAGGAAGGTAAGTTTCTGACAAAGGATCTTGTCTGATTCTCCCCGGGGTGATCTTTAATGTTTGCTGAAACCTACAATGATCAATGCAGTGGCAATGCCCTATCTGTCTCAAAAATTATACCTTGGAGAACATTATTATAGACCCTTACTTCAACCGTATCACATCTCAGGTATTGTCATATTGATGGTTAGTAGTCCTTGGAAAGCTTGCATATTGTGAATTAGTAGTTATTATATGAATGGTTTGTTGGTACAGATGGAAAAGTGCGGTGAAGATGTGACAGAGGTTGAAGTGAAGCCTGATGGTTCTTGGCGTGTTAAGGCTAAGAGTGATATTGAACGCAGGGATTTGGGTAATCTTGCACAATGGCACTTCCCTGATGGATCGCTGTGTGTTTCTAATGATGAAGAAGTCAATAGAGTGGATGCATTTAAGCAGATTAAGCAGGAGGGTGTTTCTGACAGCCCTAATGGTTTAAAACTTGGCATGAGGAAGAACCACGATGGAGTTTGGGTTTTCAGCAAACCCAATGACACCAATACATCATCAGGCAATAGATTGAAAGAGAACTTTGGAAATCATGAACAGGTGGTTATTCCCATGAGCAGCAGTGCCACAGGGAGTGGCCATGAGGGTGATGACCCTAGCGTAAATCAGGGTGGTTGTGGACATATTGATTTCTCTAACAATGGGACGGAAATGGAGTCTTTCTATCTTAATAATGTTGATTCAGGATATGGGTTTGCAGACAATAACATGACTGCTCCCACTGCTGATGCTGAAGTTATTGTTCTAAGTGATTCTGAGGAAGAGAACGACATGTTGGTATCTTCTGCAACTGACTACAAGAATAATCAAACTGATACTGTTGGTGTTGGCTACCCTGTGCCGCCTTCTGGAATTGCCGATTCATATGCAGAAGATCCCACCCTTGGCTGCTTGGGACTTTTCAATACTAATGAAGATGAGTTTGAGATGCATTCCATGTGGTCAGTGCCTTCTGGAACTCAGGCAGGTGCAGGATTTCAGTTATTCACTTCTGATGCAGATGTGTCTGATGCCTTGGTCCATTCGCAGCAAGATCCTAATTGTTCCACATCACTGAACGGTTTTGCATTGGCTCCAGACGCTACTTTAGCATCTAATACTCTCATGCCAGATGCCTCTGCTGGTCGGTCTGATGCTGATTTAAATGGTGGTTTAGTTGACAATCGGCTGCCATTTGCTGGACATGATCCCTCGCTCCAAATATTTCTCCCCACTAGACCTGCAGAATCATCTAGGCAGCATGAATTGAGAAAGCAGGCAGATGTGTCTAATGGTGTTTGCAATGAAGATTGGATTTCTCTTAGGCTTGGAGGTGGTGCTAGTGGTACCAACAGCCATGCTACGACACCAAATGGTCTGAATTCTAGACAGCAAATTCCATCCAGAGAACCTTCCACAGATGCTATGGCTGACACTGGTTTGTTTTCTTTTCAACTTGAAACCACTAGTATTTTACATCTGCTTTTATTCCGTGCTTTGTCACACTTTTATCCCCCTTTCCTTTAGTTCCCCCTTCTCTGCTCTAAGTCATTGAATTAACAAATGTATTTTAACTACTGAGAAGGATGACGCAGCAACCATTAATGCTTTATGGCATATTTACCGCCACAAGAGTGATGACCCAGCAATCATGAATGCTTTATTTTCCCCACAAGTTTCTTGACTGATTATTCCTCCTTACGCAGCTTCTTTGCTTCTTGGTATGACTGATGCTAGATCTGACAAGGCGATTAGACAAAGATCAGATAACCCCTTCTCATTTCCCCGCCAAAAACGTTCAGTAAGGCCCCGCCTGTATCTCTCTATCGATTCGGATTCAGAGTAGAGGTATAAGACGGCATGTTTCTGCAAGTGTTTCTGGTCTTTTGTGAAACGGAAGTTGCTGCCGCCTGAGGCATCTCCAGTGGAACAGATTCATGCTCATTTTGCTCCTGCCAAAATGCTTGCATCTGCGGAGTATCACTTCCTTATATGTAAAGATGATGGCTGTAAAGATTTCCAATTCTTTGTACTTGATATTTAAGGTTCCCGACACATGTTAACAGGACAGGCGCAAGCTGTTACTCCTCAATATTCAATGAGGATCTGGTGGGGTATAGTGTCGGTACTTGTACAGAAATGGGTCATTTGCTGGGTGAACTTATTGAAGAGGTGGGCGGTTCCCCTTAGGAATTAATATACGCATTTTTGTCTCTGCTGAGCGAATAACCTGTACATGCTAAGCCATCAGATTCAATAGTAAAATTTAAAGTTTAGTTGCTCATTGGCGTCGGGATTATTTTTCTTGCTTACAGCTTCGTTGCTCTACAATCTGCCCAGTTTGTCTGATCGATTTTTAGGTTTGCCTTGCGACGCCATAATTCTTCCTTCTCGAGTGCAACTGTGGATGACTGCGATCACGAGGTAAGGGGCTTAGGTTGCGCGGGCAAGTCTCAGGCAAAGCAGCCCAAGTTGCTTGGCAGGCAACCCCTGAGGCAAAGGCGAAGCCCCTCTCCGTTTCATGCACCTAGTCCCTACCACAGCCCGGGCATGACTCCACTCTTTCTGATACCCTTCTGAATATCAATGCACTTATCATTAAGACCCCATCATGGTTTGCTTGAGATCCAGGCCAGATCATGATAGACTGATGGAGCCTGGCCGATGAGCGTGGAGGGTCACAATTGAAGCTGAAAAGGTGAAGGCCGGAACAAATGGTACCACACAATCGTGCTCGTGTTTTGGTGGGCATTGATGGAGCGTAAGCGCAGCTTCTACAGTGGCAATTCATGGAGAGCTTTTTTTAAAAAGAGAGAGAGAGAGAAAGTAATCAGATCTCACGACGCAGGCATGGTAGTAGCCACATGTCCGGTTCGTCGTCCTCGATGGTTAACTCGCCGTTACGCCACGTGAGAGGGATCGGGAAACCTTGGGAGCCTTTTTGACCGTAGGGATGGAATCAGACATTTTTAAACTACAGCGATGTAAACTATGGGTACCAATCGAGGAATCTTTATTGTTTTCAATCTGCCCAATGGCATGCGCGCAAGTGTGTCAAAGATATTGTTGACCATCGCCAGGGGCCTAGCCCCGTCTTTTGTTTCGGTTCAACGTTAAGTCTTCATGATTTGATAAATTTTCCCGCATTAATTTGTTAGAATAAACTAGGGCATTAGGATTTGTTGATTGGGTTCACCAAAGCTTTTATTCCATTGTAGTTGGTTATTCTTTGTGGGACGTTGGGGCTTTTTTTTTTCTTCTTTTTTTAAAATCACATCCTTTTGAGTCGTTCTATTGTCAACACATCAGTATTAATACGTATAATACGCGCGCGCGTAAGAAGAGTTTGGACTTGATTCATTTTTAATGCATAATATAAATATAATATGTCGAACTCTAACATGATATGTATGATTGCAGGCGGTTTAAGTTCACACGGTCTGAATTGTACAGAGTCGTGAGGGTTAGACCCGAAACACGGTGAAATCAGCATCCGCCGCCAAACTCTAAACCATATGAAATTCAATTCACGTCCAAGAAAAACCTAATTGAATTTTGCGAGGATGCAATGTAATTGTCAGTTACTCTATGGACGACGCTGATGTTAGCATACAAAATGGTTTGTCTGTAAACACCCTAACCTTCACTTTCTGTTTCCAATACTGGGAGAATGCTTAAAGCTGAGGAACCAAGATGCATGCCTCGAACAATACCTCCATAGCCAACCATAATCTTTTGGCACAAAAGCAGGATGGAATCCCAAAGGGCTGTTCTTCCCTGAGACAAATGTTAGGACTGTTAGCACATCAATAACAAAATTTCAACCCGCCGGGCTGAATAAAGCACTAGTGGCCACAACAAAGTACTTCATGTAGCATTCTTATAAAGCGATGAGAATATCTATATGCAGAAAAGAATTAATTTTAAGGTTAGTAGTATTTCATGTCCATAGCCTGAAAATGATATTTCAGCCACAACCAACCTGAAGAGAAAACTGCAGCTTCTTATCCCAATACAGTGCGAAGATGGGGGGGATCTGCTTACCAACCACCAGTATACATGCTCCTGGATGCAGAACAGAAGGGACAGTAGATACTACAGCAATGTACTTCTCAGGAAACCTTTCCTTTGGAGGAAGGACTCCCAAGAATAGGGGTTCTTGCTAGATTGAGCCCCAGCATATGAGGTGGCATCCACATGCAGCATCCACTTTGGATGCTCCAGGAAAGCACAGAACAGATACAAGAGCAAGTGAGAATCAGACGGCAGCTCAGTTGTCCACTTCTTACTTTTAGTATCATAAACCTCCCCATTTCCAAGATACTCATAATTCTTCAAGCATGTTCCTTCCGCAAGCTCTGTTTAAATAGAGACAATATAACTCAAAAATTAGACTATATCAGTGTGGCAGCTCAAATGGCAGACTCGAACTAGGGTTCAGCTTCAATTTATCAGAGAATCTCATGAGGATTACTGATTAAGCAACCAATCCATTTCTAAGATTACCTCGGATCCTTTGCACAGTGTAATCAGCTCGAACAGTGCTTTGAGGTAGTAAACCTTTAACCCACTCTCCTTTAACCAAAGCTTGAAGTTTTTGGTGTTCAGTGATGGCATCCAGGCAATCCTGCATGAAGGGGACCATAGTATTCTGCTGAGCCTGTGGGCCTTGCTGCAAATTTGACACAGGCAGCTTGGCTGTATGCAAACACAGGCATTCAAGAAATTGTAAAAACTTAGCCTATATAAACAAACTGTGGAAAAGATGAATTCAACTGAATGATGTGAAGCAACATACACGTGGAACCCTCTATGGCTTGCACAAGGGTAGAACGTAACTGATGAAGAAGTCCATCTTCATTGAGATTCAACTGTGGTTGCCAATCTTTTGTCTTATCAATTGTTGGGAAGGTAGCAGGGGTTCCAAGAGATGGCATATCATTTCCGACTTGATTGATTTTGACTGAAATACCAAGTTTAGCGGCTGCTTGCGTAACCTACAAACGTAAAAATCACAGGGCCATGGGAAAAAAAACTAAATTAGCTACTAAGATGATATTGGTATTATGGGCCAACGCCCCCAACCTGCCTTGTAAAAACGAAATAAGTTGGAGGTGGCCTGATTTGACTTCTCTGGTGAAAAGAATCCCGGCAAAAAAATATACAAAAATTAGTGCCTCCTACACAAGAAATCATCATGACAAAAATGAACCTGAATATGGCTGGTCTCAATCTTGTCAAGCAAAGGGTTCAGCAAAACCGAAGAGAACCATTGCCTAAGGTGATCACGCCACAGCTCAATTTGAGGATAGATGCCCAGATGTTCGAAAGCTTCAACAGATTCTTCCATGGACATTGGTGAAGGGAGATCACTCTCTCCTTTCTTTGGGGGCGTGCTAAACTTTTGGGAACCTGGTGACATCCTCACAGGCCTCAGAGGTGTTAGCCTTGTAGTTCCAGAAGTATTAGCTGACCCTGTAGCTGTATTAGGGCTCACAATGCCAAAACCAGACATGATAGGGGGTGGAGTAGACAGCTTCCCTGCTGATTCATCGATTTTTTCATTGACTACTGCTAAGAACTGTTCAAGTTTTTCTTCTGATGTTATCTTACTAGCAGGAGAGGCTCGCCTATTGGACCAAGGACCTGAGATAACTGAATCCGTTCCAGCTGAATTCTGAAGAGACGGTGGAGGTGAAGTCACCCCAGGGACAAGATATAAAGAGGATAAGGGTGACTTAGAAGGGGTGCTCATAGGACGTCCCTTACCTCCCCTACTAGAATTCGAACCATCAGCATCAATATGAGGTGAACGACTAGGACTGGGAATCGGCTGATGAAGGGGCACAAGCAAATCTGAAGATATGGGTGTCGATTTAGACTTGGGAGGCTTTTTAATTGATTCATATTGAACACATTCTACATTTGGCTTCACTCCCAGAAGCCCTAATTGACGTTTTGTAAGAAACATCTCATTCCTACTAACTTTGGAAGCAGGCATCGCTGGAACACCAGCAGTATATCTGACTTTATGCAGAAATATAGCTTTAAGGAGAGCAAATATAGTTCCAGCGAAGATGAGACCCACAAAAGCCTGCAGAGTCTTGGCAAGCCAGTCTGATGTTCAAGACATTTATTAGAAGAGATATAGCATTCAAAGCAATCGTGCCAAAGAATGAAGAGGGGCGGAAAAACTAATTGAGCTTAGGATCTTACAGGCTGTCTCTTGAGAAAGATTTTTCAGCCTCACGAAGTCAATGAATCCGTTTTCCCTACAAGAAGCAAAGCTAGTTAGATAAATGAGTCGCTTATAAAGTATCCTTAAGTAACATTACAGAGTGAAGTCAGAAGCGGATGTCGATTGTACAGATGATATCCAGGTACGTCTGACAAGGAAACATAATAGAATTATATTCATACTATGGAAACAATTTGGTTCTTTGCTCATACTCATATGAATTCATAGGATATAAAGGGCAAATAATAGATAATATAAAGCAGAAGAACTCCAAATTCCCTATTCACCAGTCACTACATTTCTATGACAACTTCAAATAAAACCGTAACTATCTAGTCTCTGCCGGAGATATATGTTTCGTCCAAGTCGACCTCATGGTAATTTCAAGGTTTCAAGATGTTAGAAGCAAAAAGAACTACTGCGACAAGAGATTGATTCAGCTCGTGAAAAAATCAACTGATCAACTAATGGTAGCATGATCTACTATAGAAACCGCAGGCACAGTTTAAAGAAGTCACTTAAATGAAAAAAGTTCGGCAATTCATTTCAAGTTCTTTTTATCTTTCCCCCGAGTTCTTTCTTGCTACAAAGAAGCGGTGAAAGTGGCAAGCGATGAATGAAAATGCAGCAGAGCACCTGAAGAGAACGGTGATAAAAGCTAAAGCAGAGGCAGAGAAGAAGGAAACGATGCAAAGGAAAGTGTGGCTGGAAGGTTGGAGACTCTGGGCGGTAAGAACGGCAGAGAATGAGGGGTTTTGGTAGACGTAAAACTTGGAGGGGTTCGGTGGAGGTGAAGTCTTGTCTCTGGTAGCCCCTGCATCCATGGCGGCTTAGGGTTTCAGGCGTCGGAGCACAGACGCAGGAGGAGTCCTTTCAAAATTTGGCAGTCCCACTCCCACCGATCACCGAGGTTTAAGGACTCAGTCGCGATAGACGCATACCGATGACGCAGATTCAAAATTTTCAAACTTTCCGAGCCCACGAAGAAGTGATATATAATATTCCAAAATGGTCCCTCCTCTTCTAGCGGGCTGCGGTCTGGCACTGATCGTATTTAAAAACACGGCTTAGGTTCTTAATATAAAAATTAACTAATTTGAGTAGGTTAAAGATATTAATTAAATTAGTTAATGTGATATGTTTTTTCTAAAATATTCTAAGTGTCTTTTTTAATTCTCACCTTCATTTTCTTACTTTTTTGGGAAAATATTAATATAAGACCGACATCAATATATAATAAATGAATAATGCAAAGTCCTTTTCTTTTGGCAACAAAATACTTTTAAAGTTTAGAATTCCATATTTAGATTGTCTTCCAAAAAATATCTACCTCTGATAACAGACAACCTAGTAGTTGGTTCTTTCTGGTCACATGACAGTATGGAAAGCAGGCCAGGCATTTTTGAAAGGGAACTAAGCCATGCTACTTGCTTTAGGGCTAGCTTTGGGCATGCTGCAGGTATATTTTGGCAAGCTTCTGAATCTTCCAGATTTTTTCCCTTTTTCTTTCAACTATACCATGATGGTTTGTGCGAGGCCCGTTGGTGTCTAAATAAAGGTTTTAATGAAATAAAACTTTTTTTTAATAATATTATGATGGTTTGAATGTTGAATACATTTCATATTCCATCCATTTTTGTCATCAGAATAACTTTAGATGACTTGCTTTAACATTTTTTATGACTGACTGCACACGATGCATTTGGCAATGAGCAAGCCGAATGGTAACTTACATGCTCCAGAATGATTGTATCTTGGATATTTTTTATCTGATAGGTCTTAGATTTTTAGATGCTGTTATTTGGCCCTTTCATGCAGCTTGTTCTTGTACTGTCACCGGAAAACTCAAGGTTGTTAGTGCAGATAGAAACAGGATGTGGTGGTGCCAGTAGTCCCCTTGTCTAGACATATTGTATTGGTGTGTTTCTTCAGATTCCAGTGCAGTTTTTCCATTTGTTATCCTTAATATGATGCCTCTCGACCCCTTAGCACCATAGTTCAAGGTCTCATAAACTAAATGGCAAAACCCTATAGTCATGTGAGATGTGGACTCAGTCAAGCCTGCGCCACTTTGCAGGTACACTTCTAAATGAGTTAAATCATTTTGGAACCATATTACTGGTGCATCTTTGACTTGTTTACAATTCACGCTACTATTGTATTTATATTACTCGCACATCATTCAAACTTTTAAGTGACATGCAAAGTGTCAGCTCCTGAGATGTTTCGTGCGTTAGTATACCACCGATGGCAGGAAATTCGGAAACTTCGACGTTATACCTCACGGCAAACATAAGCCTTAGGTAGCAAGGGTCTGTTAATACATAGTGCTCGCATAATCTGCCCTTATTCGGCAACTTTGGTCTGCTTGGTTGGGCTTACGGGCTCGAAAGATAAAAATAAAATCACAATGATATGCGGTATGATTAAATTACAAGGAACGGAGCCAAAATACGCTTAGGATTCAAGCAACCCTGAACCTCAGACTCTACACTTCTGTTGGAGAAGAATCTGGCTGGCCCACAGATGAGGACTTGGAAGCCTCCGTCACTCCTGGTGCCTGTTCCAAACAGCTCTGGGTATCATCAGTGATCATCCCAATTGTCATCTTCTCCACTTCTTCTTCGGTATATATATGGATCTTAGACACCACACTGCAGAACTCACTGCACAGAAAAGGAAAGCTTTTTCTCAGTATTGTCAGGATAATTACAGGGGAAGCAGGCGATGGCTATTGGCAAATGACTAAAAGGTGGCAAAGCAATTTAACAATGTAGAGTCCACGATGATGAACACTTACTGCCATGGGTCATCCCCTACAACCATTATGTCATTTTCACTATCGGTGTACAGGACCCTCCATCCTTTATCAGGATCCTTTATAAGGCCTTCCATGCCAAACAGTCGCTCTAGTTCACTCAACAAATCATTGTAGCTGTTCAGTCTTGAGAGATCAATGGCTCTTCCAACTAAGCTACCTTGCTTGTGAACCTTCATTCAGCGTATGTTACATAGGTGGGCAAAACATCAAAGGAAGAGAAAAGGCATATCATAATATAACTCTGTTGCTATCATCGCTCACCTTTGTGCAACTCCTTTTAGCAGAGTTCTGTAAATTCTGAGAGTTGCCTTCTCCAGATAAGGGAAATCCAAATAGTTTACAGCCATTTACCTTTCCCTCAAAATTTTCATCACTTGGAATCCTTAGACTTGCTCCTAAAGAAGCAGCAGTAGAAAAACTATCCTGTAGCTTATCCTTGTTTGACAGATCCGAGCGTCCAACTTCCTTTGTTGAGAGCTCTGCCTGAGTGGAAGGAGTGTGGACATTCTCTATCTGGAAATTTGCAGGTTTAGAGCTCAACAAGCTACTTTGACCAGCTCGGTGAATGTCACCGTAAGGGAAATTAGAAGTTATAAGGCCTTTTGATCCAGAAGTATTGAAGTTGGATTTGCATGCCTGACGCTGGTTGAAAGTTGTGCAACTGGCATTGGGTTTACCCCATGCCCCAAGGTTAAAATCAGCCTTTCCTTTCAGGGATTGCAGTGGACCTATTTCTTGACCTTGCAAGACCCTCAGAAACCTATTAGTCTCTGCAAAGCCTGCATAACTTGAAGGGTGAACCCTCGTAAGTTCAGCAGCAGTAGCCTTTCTTAATCCATTGGATGCAAGATTTGGATGACTAAGAGGACTCATCTCAAAATCTGGCTGGTTGGTCACTGCATCACGCCCAAAATAGTATGATGCAAAACCTGTATTTTCTTGACCTTGCAAGACCTTAGGTGATATTACAGACTCCTCAAAGTCCATAAATGCACCGCCACCTGTGCCCCGGCCAGAAGTCAAATATGAACAAAATTAGGATGCACAATAATAAGCAGCAATTATATACGCTATTTGCACACTATCTCAACATCAGGACTCATACCGGTCATGAGGTGACTTGATGGGGCAGCATGCAGACCTGTCCGCAATTTCTTTAGTCTTGGGGATGACTGAATGCTCAAGGGGGGGAGAGAAACGGAAGGCTCAATCTCCCATGGAGAAATTCGATCTTGATGATTAGTAGCAAAATCCTCATCCCATTTTACCTGTTGAATGTCAGAGCAAGCTTTCGTTATAAAGCTGCTATAAACACACAATCATATGCCCAGTTTAAATACATTGGACTTTGTACAGGACTGTTGCAACATAACTGAAATACATTCTAATGAAATCCAGCAAAAGAGGCAAATAAATCACGCATGAAGAAAATAACAGACTGCAAGCAGATATACAGAAAAGAAAGTCCAGCGCGATCAAATCTCCAGGTAACTTCCCCAAAAGTGGCTTTACATAATTTCGGCCTGATTCTATTTGTAAACAATCTAAATCTGGCTTCAGCATCTTTTTTTCCCCTTTCGCGTGGCGGGGAGGGCCGACTTTAGTGTCTTTAAGAGCTCATGGTCATAGTGGATTGAATGGCTACTCTTATTTTAGATTAAATTGATTTGTGTAAAAAACGAGTTGGCGAGAGCAACATGCAAAATTGTTTGATTACTGTTAAAATGTACCGCACGTGTATAACAAAAAATGTAAATATACCATCAAGCACCTCCATTTTGACTTAGGCCATCTATAGGGATCCAAATCACGCATTCCCGTCACTATACCACCATTACACCTGCAAGATAGGAAGAAACTGTTATATTCATCACAAGGAATTGTTTGTGCAGGAAGACATTTCTAAAAGATTTGCAAGTTTGTTTACCTTCTTTCGGGAGATTCATCCATTTCGAATTTCATCTTAAATCTTGTTCCAATGGTCATTGGATTCTTGATGCTTTTGACATATTTCTGGTAGGGGACAACAAACTCCGCATGACTTGCCCTGTGTTATAAAGAAATCCAAACATAATGAGTCATAAAGTCTGGTCTCGTCGTGAGACGTTCAATTAGTTTGCAAGAAGTCTTCGGTTCATACTTCTGCGACACTATGCATGCAAAAGAAAACATGAATATTTTGCTTGAATCCTATGCCAATCATATTAAATATCTTATTAATCTCCAGTAAGAGAGTTTCCATTTATCAATGAAAAATTATTGACAAAAGAAGAATCAATTAAGATAGCAGAGAATCAAGCAGCAGGCATCCCCCTCCTAAAGATCTTATCATCTGAATTTGCAGAAAAGCTGGAAGCCTGTTCTGCTCAAAATTCTAATCATTGTCCCTGCTGTTTTCCAATCCATATTCATCAATACGATAGATAAACCAGCATGAGAGCCAAATACTTGACTGCGTGTGTCATATACACAAGGGCAATTAAGACGAAGAGTCATTTCTAGAAATACATGCCTATAACTAATTTTAAGCAAGACAGCTATATTTATAAATATTCCAATTTTCTCATCACTTTCTTGTTCAGGAGACATTAAGCTTGGTGAAATCAGGGTTTGAATATCCCCTTCGTTTTCATTTATCTCGCAATTCCCTATGTTTATGAAATAAAATCTGCAATTTTTATTCCCAGTTATCATCCTTCTCTTCCACCCCTAACTAAGTCAGAATGTCACTCTAGTTGACAAGTTTAGTAGGGACCCAACAGTGTTATGCATGGTATCATAATCAATCTAACCATAGCAGATGTAATTCCATCCAATGCTATTGAGTCCCGATGTAGGGTGATGCCAGTATTTTGGACATCCTATTCGGCTGAATGATACGGAAGAACCAAGCCATTTTACGTGTGGCCATTATCTCACTCGAGAAAACAGAGCTTAAAAGGTGTAACTTATCAGTCATGGCTGCTGCACCGGACAACAGATTACTGGAAAACAATAGATAAATATGGGGGCTGAAAGAAGAATCCTTTTTCATGTTTACGACATCCCAATGACAACAAAATTTCCTTGGTAATCACAAAGTTCTACGTCACTTACGATGTCAGTTTAGACACTATGTCGCGAGCCTGACAATCCCATAAGCTTAAATTACTAGCAGAAAGCCAAAGAATGATTTTCATTACGATGGTTACCAAAATTGGTATGGATAATAATGATGGAATAGGCATTTCAAATCATGGTTGGCTAAACTTGTACGTACAAATAGAGAAAGATAAGATCTATTAGTTTCCGTACCTTGGGCTGTAGAAAACATGAAACACACTTTTGGTGGATATAGCATTAGCCACTGAAGATAGGAAATTGGGATAGCAATTCTGATCACCAATAATTGACTCGGGAAGACCATTTCTAGGTCGAACAGATCTTCTGATTCCCAATCTCAGTTCTCCGCTTTCACCCCTACAATGCATTTGTAAGTAGTTAAGGGATCTGAAGGTACTAGAATGATGAACTCGTCTTCCATAGAGACTGGATAGTATGAGTAGTAAATTTGATTTAAGTTCAGAAATTATTAGAACTCCTTTCATGCTTTAGCAGTGTGAAAAGGCTAGATTCTCATATAAAAGAAAACACGGTTTTTAGATATAAGCTCATATTATATTAGACTTTATATTTCGAACCCTTGGCTAGGTTGGTAAATGAGCAGTACTCTGACAAGAAACTAAACTAGCTACGTTCAAAGGTAAATGCGTATAAGCTAAATGATTGATTTTAGCAGGAATAGGCACGCGAAAGTTATCAGCTCGTGATTTAATATATGAGTTGGACAAGGGGAATGCCCCTTAATTTTTTTTTTCTTTTTGGGCCAAACTATAGTTATTTTATCAAATGCCCCTTAATTGATGTAAGGTGATTTATAGAGTTATACAAGGTTCATTTTCTTTCAAATCTGCTAAACCATGTCAACGTGACAAATGATGAAAATCTTGTGCATAGGAATTAATGCCACTCAAAAATCTCGACTAAACATATTTGTACCTCAGAAAGAGTACTGCATCGCCAGATACAAGATTCTTTTGGCTGACAAAAATACTCCAGCCAGTTGTGAGCAGATGCCGTCTTGGCTGACCTGAAAAATTGCCGCTTCGATTTTAATCAAACAATCTATTGATGAAGCCGTGCTATGTTATTCTTTGCAAACTACCTCTGTAAATATGGCGAAATTTCCACTCTACTCCATGCAGGTCTTTTGCAACAAGCTCCTGGGAGGGTCTTTGCTGCTTATAATCCTGCGTAAAAAGAACTGTCACCTCAAAGGAGTCTGTGCAATGAAGAATTTAGGTCCATAAAGCATCAGTGAAAATGAGAACTAGAGACTAAACCAAAGGAGGAAAGCAATCTTCAGCAGCTCTGCGAGGAACAGAGAAACCCCCGTGAGTGCTAGTGTCTGAAGCAGTAAGCGTTTTGCAGAACATGTGAGGGGTTGATTTTGCAGGTAATCCTCCATTTTCCTCCTGAAATGCTCCCAATTTCTCAAGTTCTTGGCCCTCCAAGTGCACCGCTGCCAACTGAAGACAACACAAGACTATTGTGTTTAGGCTTCGTGTGTAAACAAAATCATTAATTCATGCTAATTCCTATGCATAAAAGAATATTCCAACAGAAAATGAAGTCCACAGCGATCAGACTTTAATGATTTACGTAGAATATGACAGCTTCCTATACCTACAAAGAAGACACAAATTTCCTCACAGATACTTGAGATGCATCAACGCAGTATTAACGTGAGTTAAAGGCCAACCACTGCCTAGTAGCAAAAAAGAAAAGGTGGGGAAGGGACCAACCTCTGCCTGGGGAAACAGAGTAACTTGCGTGTAAACCTCGTCATTCTCCTTGTTGGCCTGTTCCGGGAAATAACAAATACGCTAACAATTACAAAAATTAAAAAAACCAACTAAAGCGAATCGAATTTCACGAGGAAAGCAGGTACAATTCAATATTTGAAGGTAATTTGGCACTCACAAGAAGCTGGACATTGACGACCCTGCAGAAGATTTGCGGTTGAAGGTCATAAGTGGGCATGTCCATGGGCGAGAAAGGAGAGAAAGAAGCAAGCTGTTCAAGATGACCCTGGGGAAAGTAGACTACTACATTTCCTTTGTTGGCAAGGGAGGTGAGGGGGCCAGCACAAGCATGCCAGAGTTCGAGATAAGAAGAAGACACGCGAGGTGAAGGCGAATTGGAAGATGAAGAAGTGGAAGAGGCGAAACATGAAGCACAAGCGCCTTGCTCACAGTGCCCAGCGCAGAAGGCATTCTTTTCAACCTCAGTCACTGCATGGTTCAGATCAATTTCCATGAACACCCAGTTTAGCTCTGGTGAGACACAATGGAAGTAGAACAGGTAACAGAATATTAAAAGTTACAAGGAGGGAGGGAAGGAAAGCGATGAAGGGTGATTAAAAAGAACATCCGGAAAGCGAAAACTATATAAAATGGAAAGGAGGGTCAAATCACATAAAGGAATTCGTATTTGGAGGGTCACCACAAAGTTAAAAAACGGGTGGGATGAACAGAAAACGAGAAGAAAGTCACGTATGCGAGGGAAGCCCAGACTAGACGGGGGAAAAGAAAAAGAGAACAGCGTCAAATAATAACAAGAAATTCGAAGTATGATTCCTCCCCCATTTGCAGGTACTGAGGAGAGGGAGCAGAAGCAACAGACATAGACAAATGCATAGGAAGCACAGAAACAAAAGGCGAGAAAAGCCAATGTGGTAGTGGCTTTTGGACTTACCGACTTAGACTGTTTGAGCGAGAGAGAGAGAGAGAGAGGACTGTGCAGGGTGGGGGGGACAGGCTTTGACAGTACAGAACCCACACACACCCCACCCTTGTCTCCTTTGCTATGCCTCGCCTTTATCTTTTCTCTGTTAATAATTCCCTTCACTGTGGAGGGAGGCCCTCCACCAAGACAAAAGGGGGGGTTTTCATTCGGCTCAGAAACACCAACTACCATTCTTTCCCCTCTAGAAACAAATAGTGAAAAAGGGGTCTTTTTTCTGGTGAATTTGCATTTTATATCTTGAGCACGGTGGGTTTGAAAGCAATAACCTGACAACTCAGTTAAGTTGGTGAGGTTGCTAATAGTGGAAGCAGGAAGATTAGTAGGGGTCGAAGAGAGAGATGTTAAATGGCTGGCAGGGGGTCCAAATACGTGGAAGTGGGATCGAAATGGGTGTAGAGCGGGGAGAAGGGTGAAATAGAGAGGTGAAAGGGACAGAGCAACAATGGTGGGCGCGTTGTTAGTTGTTAGGACTCAGTGACTCAGAGGAGGCTCTCAGGAGTCCACACTCTGTCCTCTTTTACATATCTTACGTCTCATCACCCTGTCCTCTTTTTAATTTTTTCTGCCCGCCATGTCTCAGCTCTACATTATATCATACGCGCCCTCAGAAAAAAAAAAGTATGCATATATCGATCACCACGTGAAGAATTATAATTATGATCGTCATCAATTAACAGTGTTAAAAACACAAGTCCATCACATTAAATTATTAATTAATAAAGATGTACTCGCTGTATAGTTTTAAAATATTGAGATTATTGCATAATTTATGGTTAAAATGATACTCCTCCGGTCCTTAATATAGGACCTAATTGTTGAGTTGGTTTTGGTCCTAAATATAAAACTCATTTATCATATTTATCAATTTTCTCTAAAGTACCCCTATGTATACTCCCTCAACCATAATCAAGTAGAAGAGGGAGATGAGGTATTAAGAGAGATGATTATGGTATTTTAGGAAAAACATGTCACATTTCTTATAATTAACTAACTTACCTAACTTCTTTAATCTAATCAAATTAGTTAAATGGGTCTTATATTAAGAACCGGAGGAGTATAAACAAATGGGAATTAAAGGCGTGAAGGGCGAGGTTTAAATGATAGAATTGTTAATATGATATAAAAATCATAAGTATAATTATAATACTGCTAGTAAATAACTAAATAATCACCGGATGGTGATGGTAGAAATAGTGAGTCTGTATGTGAGAAAAGGATGTAGAGGAGGGATGAGAATACTGGGAGCAGGCGGCAGAGAAAGTGATGGAATGAAAGGAACGAAGGGTGGCCTGCCTCTTTGGCGCTGCTTCTCTCACCACTCTCCCTCTTTTGCCCCTCAGCTTTCTTCCTATTTACCCATCCCCCCGGGCTCCCTCCTTTTTCCTTCTTTCATCCAATTCCTCATTTCTTCTTCACGGGTTTGAATTTTTTAATTAAAATAACACTCTCTCCCGTTCTGTATATAAACTTTAAATAATTGAATCAAGTTTGACAAACAAACAGCTAAAATTAGTTAAAAATAATAAATAAATCAGAAATAATTTTTTTTAAATTTGTCTTTATTTATTAAGAGAGTAGATGAGAGGCAATAAATGAAAAAAATGATTAAAGAGAATGTGTTGGGCTAATATTAATGAGACAGAGTATTAAATATAGTCAACTAAGGGCAAAATAGAAAAAAAAAATTAATAAATGTTCAGACAAACTAAGAAACAAAGCTTGTATTTTAGACCAGGTCCATCTTCAAAAGTAAAGCTTATATATAAGACCCGAGGGAGTAAATCTTAATGACTTAAAATTATAAGCAAAACCAAGTACGTGACCTTTTATTTATAAGAAAACTGTCATGTTATTTTATTATAATTTGCAGGTACTATCTTCGTTCCTTAATATTTATAAGACCCAATTAACTAATTTTAAAAAATATTAAATTAATTAACTATAAGATATATTATATCATCTTTCTAAAATATTTATGTGTGTCATTAGACTATATATCAATTATAAATGAACTAAATTAGTTCTTAAAAAACAACAAAGTAATTTGATAATTTTTTAATCCTTCTAAATTACTCAAAACATGAGGTAGTATTTGATATTTTTGAGAAGCCCAACGTGACATGCATAGATTTTAGATGTGTGTGAGTGTGTTGGCATGTCCTCAAATGGATGATACACAAATTGACGTGGACGTCACTTACATCTTCTGCGTCCTGCAAAAGTCATGCAAATTTCATCACGCAGCACAATAAAGTTGGATCAGTCCACATCATAAACGGCGTTATTTTATGTGCGCGCGTGTGTGTACAAGCACCCTGGCCGCCTATTCTGAGTAATGCAGCTCTAATAATTAAACTCCGCCCAATCTTTTTCTTTACACTGTCAATTTAATTAATGTACCTTTTATTATTATTCCCTCGATGTTTTTGTATGATTTCAGTATTACTGCGTTAAAAAGATCCCCTCTCGATGCCTCTTTTTATATGCATATCGTAATTATGAATGAATGTGCAAGTGAGCGTACATAATTTTACCACACGCGCTCGCATCGATGACCACCCGACCGTGATCCTTGTCCTGTTAAAATCGTCTCATTTATACCCAATTTTTCAAACAAGAATTTAGGGCTGATAAAACGAGTTAACCTATGGGTTGCAAGTTGGCCTGTGACGGGCTACGGGTTATTGGGGTCGGGCTCAAAAGGCTCGCTTTTTGACGGGTTGGTATTCTGCCAACCCTAACCCACCAACCTGCCAGATTTTTTTTTTAATTTTTTCTTATAAATAATCAAAAATAAAATATCAGAAATGATTTAAAGTATTCTAAACATTCACACAAAATTATAACACATTAAAACACAAAATATACAATTGTCCAGAGTTCAAACTCCGAACATGATAAAACACAAGTTCAAACATAAATTTTTCTTATCTTTCTAACCCATGTCCCGATATTTTAATATATATAAAAATGAGAGAAAAAATTTAGACGGGTTGGCAACCTGCCAACCCGCAAGCTGACCCGTCGCAAGCTCGAGTTGTAGCGGTGCGGGCTCATATTTTTTAGGTGGTGGGGGGTTGACGGGTTCAACCCGAGAGTCTCATCCATATTACCAGCTCTACAAGAATTATATGGCAGGATATTATTATTATTATTTTCCTATCCAGTCTAAAGTTGACTTAGCTGGGGGTGAAGGGGGTGTAGAGTGAGTTTCAAGTCAGGCCACTTTTAATTGCATGCACGCCAACGGATGATGCAACTTTAACTAGTGCATCGTCATGCATGCCAGGCCGCATGTGATGGCGAGGTACAATCTTCTCATGAATTATTCTGTGTTCCCGATGTGTTGGCGACGTGAGGGCTTTATTAATATATAGGTAATTTATAGATACCTTTATAACCTATTTTTGAGCCTGTAGATATCTTTTGGTCATGATAAGTTTCTGAAAGTCAATTTATCTAAACTTTTTTATAAAAAAGAAAATAACATTCTTTAATATCTTGTTCTCTTTTGTTTGTTATTTTAATTAAAAGGATTCTTTTAACTATACACAAATGCAGGCTAGAAAGAGAGCGAGAAGGGATACACAATGCAACCATGTATGTCCCCGTCGTTGATTTATAGTTTTTGTCAGAATCCAAATTATAAATAAAGATTGGCCTAACTAGTAAAGAGTGTATACATCTCATAAAGTTATGATTTCAAATCTTATTATCAAGAGGGAAGATCTGGCTGATGAGAAATCTATAAGCACCTTTATTAATATTTATTGAGTTTGAAGAGATGTTCTAATCTTAATGAGTCTAACTCAGCTAAATTTTTATCTATAAGAGAGAGAGAGAGCAAGTATGTGTGAACACAGGAATGCGCGAGAGATTAGGATTTACGAGTCGTCAGGAGGGAAAGAGAGGCTGGCACTGGGTAGAAGCTGGGCGGGATTACAAAGCGGAATTGGGGCATAGTGACATCATTATCAGGACATTACTTATGCATGGTTTAAGAATGTTTGGTTTCACGAAAATTAAGGATGTTAGAAGGAGAGAGGTGGGGGATGGGGGGAGGCAGTGCACGTGGACGTGGGCGGTAACATTGGGAGATTGGCATTGACAGGCCCCACCCGTAAAGAGAGACAGAGGAATTAGTGACTTTATTAAAGTGGCAGAACAGAACAGGTGCAGTCTGCCAGTCTCCAGTCCAGTGTGCAGTGATTATCACCATCACTGATTCCTAACATTCCCCTTAATGCATGCCTCATCATAATAACTAACAACCCTCCGCGCTGCTGGCTTATTATACTTTTAGTTCTTAATATAAGATTTTATTTAATTTTTATTTTAATTTTAAATATGAGATCCAAATCTACTTTGTCTCTCACATTTATATTTTTTTTCCAAAGTAATCCTTCTAACAATGGTAGTTCTAGATAATAAACTTGATTAGTAAGGATATTTTAGGAAAAACAACACTTATTCATTACAAATAACAAATAACACTTATTCATTACAAATAACTAACTTAACTAAGTTTCTTAATATCTCCAAATTAATCAATTAGATCTTATAATTAGGACCAAATGTAGTATTACAGGTGTCTCAACCATTTCCCCCCTAAGCAGGTTACCAGTGGGTGCTCTTGGTTGATTCTGAAGTTTACTTTCACATTCTCTTAACATTGAATATATTTTTATCACTTTGGTACTTATTATTTATAACGGGAAAATTGTGAAAAATATATTAGTATTCAATACTCTCTTTAATAAGGACAAAAATAAAAAAATTTATCTATTTAATATTCTTCTTTGTATGTAAAAAAAACTCTTCAAATAACAAATAATAAGGATGAGAATTATATTAATTTTACTTCTAATTAATTTTTTTGTAGGTTTTCTTTTATTTATTTTAACTATTGCACCCACTCATAAATAAGAATATAATCAAAACATAATTTTTATATGG